AAAAAATAATGTTAAGGATAGAAATTATCTTTTTAGTTACCAAAATTAGGCATTTCAATATTTGAAAATATATGTCTCTAGCTACAATTATTAAATAAAGGTTAAATTTGAACTAGATGTTCTTGTACATGGAGGGATAACTCCCAAATAATTTTAATTTTTTATAGTTATTAGAAATTTTTTATGATTAATGTATGTATCACATTACTTATGAAAAATACTAAATAAATTTAAAACAATTCGAATAAATTTGTAAGTATTAATAAAACACCAAAATGATTTATAAACTAACATTCAAGCACAAATCAACAAGTTAATGCTTTAAAATAAAATTTTTTAATTAAACTTTCTATTTAAAAAATCTAAAAGTAGGCTTTGAATAGCCAAAATGAGAATAAATATAAAAAATGATTAAGAAAATCAACTGTTGCATTATCTAATTTAAGTAAATGATTTTTAATTTCTCCAAATTTTATTAAAATTATTTGAGGTATATTTATATATTGGTAATATAAATAGTGACTACTCTAACTACAAAAAAATTAAAAAACAGTCAAAAATTATTCTTAAAGTTTTAATGAAAGTTCCATGTAAGGCAATTAATCTAGAAAATTAAATTCAACTTTTAATTACTTCATTATGCATTAGAATCGGTCTTAATTTTTTACTTATTAAAGTAAGAATTTATGCAACATTTTCATAAAAATTCACCCAACGCACGCAAGCGATATACGTAATAAAATTTTAAATAAGGAAAGTTTTATTATTATTATTATTAGTTAATGTATTTTTTATTCAAAATCTTAGTACTAGTTTTTTTTTAATTATGATAGGATTAAAAGTGACCCAAATAATTATGAAAAAAGTATAGGGCATTTAAAACATTATTATAAACAAATGATACCAAATGCTTAACCATATGATACTAAAGTTAAATGGAAAATAACATCACTATAGATATTCTATCCATTCATAACAAATAAAAATAAATAAATCTAAATGCATTGGTTGAATTAATTTAGTATGATTAAAATGCCAAAGAGTTTGGGATTTTTATATAGATCTTAAGTTTTAAATTTATTAAAATAAGGGTAATTAATTTTATTAAATTAAAATATTTAATAAAATAAGATAATTTTTACCCATTGGAGTAATTTGTAGACAAACTTATGTCTAGAGTTTTATTTTATTTGAATTGGTATATTTGTAAGAAATATATATTAAAAAATTAAATTAAATTAACTTGACTAAAAAGGTTGTGTATGGGAGAAACCTTTTTAACTTAATCTAGGTAACTGATTCATTAATGGACGACATTTGATCAACATCCCCACTCAACTCTTATATTTCAATCAAAATCACCATGGGACATTACTCCTAATCCACTACAGTAATTTTGATTTGAGCAACTTCATGGAATTAAGGGATAACAAGTAAAATAGGTCATTCCCCCAACCCACCCTGTCATCACAATGACAAAGGTCAATTTATGATTTAGTTTGGATATCTATATAATTAATAACTTTGGCTGAAATTGATCCAACAACTTCTATAATGTTTTTAAAGCAAAAATCTTCTTTAGAATTATCTTGAGGTGGCATAAATTGGTGGGAGGACCAAAGTTTTAACTCATTTTATGCTTCCATATTAGCTAGAGCTCATTGGAAGGCTTAAGCTACTATCAAGGATATAAATAATTCTTATCAACATTGAAAATGTGTAAAAGAAAATTAGAGAGTTTATTCCCAATGATTTGTTGTAACTATCTAAATTGAGCCTATAATCGTGGTTTAGCAATTAGAGTAAACTAGTGTTTGATTTAAGCATAGTTATGTAGATTATTAAGATGATTTAGAAGAAAACCTTAACAATCAAAGATAAACTTCAATTTCAATTTGGTTAGTTATATTATAGTATCCTAATTATTCATAAATGTACTTATAACCTTAATATAGTGACCTGGTTAATACCTATTATTATTAATTATGGTTTTTGTAAATCATTGTCATCTTGTTAATTCAATTTAGCCAAATAGTTGGATTTTCAATTATGTTTTAGATTATGTTAAATAAAATGGTTAATTTTGGTTTAACCTGTGGTAATTAGTCCAATTGAATCAAACTAAGGTTTCAATTTGATCAATGAGGATAAAATAAAAAGTTTAGTTAGGTCTAACTATGTCAAATCAATCAAACTAGCTTAATTGAACCAAAATGGTCAATTATATGTTCACCTTGGAACAACTGTTTAAATTGGCTCAATTACTTCAAACCAATAATTAGTTTAGCTTACATATGATATAGTGAACTCGTTTAACAAGTTTAGTCTAAACCACTTAATCAAATTGATAATTTAAATATAAATGTTTTAAATGGCTTCCTATGAGTCTAATTAGTCCAAGTTGGGTTAGTTAAGTTTAGTTGGTTTAACCAGAGATTAATTTGGTCAATTCCATATTTAATAGATCAACTTGGGTCAATTGAAAAGTTTGGTCAAATTTTATTTGATCAATTTCATCAAATTATCTTAGATGCTCAAAGTATTTCAAAAGGCTGAATTAGCCAAACTAGGTGTAATCTTCGGGCAAATAAAGTTTGTTTAACTATAATTTGTTAAATGAAATCCGTTTACAAAAGTTAACTTGGGTCAGTAGAGTTAAATTTGTTAGAACAAATGAGTCAATTAGTTATTTCATGGGATAATAATGATTACTTTATTTATGGTTGACCAGTTAAAATGGTTTTGAAGCCTTACGTTTCTAATTTGATGGTTTCAGTCAATTTGGTTCAAGCATGTCTAATTGGGTTAACATCAATGGTCCAATTAAGTTAATCCAAAAGATAACAAGTCTAAACTAGAGTATATACAACCTTTTAAGACTCTTTAGAGTGATTCCTAAAGTTTATTGTCAAGTTTCCCGAAGTAACTTATTAGGCTTAAGAATCTAAAGAATTTATAGACTCAATCGACTACAATTCAAACATAGGAACATAGTCTGAATCCATTAATCGAATAATACTAAAAAAAGATGTTTAGTTACTTAAATCATTAATTGGCCCCATTGGGGCTAGCCTAAATTAAGCTAGAGTTAAGGTTAACGTAAAGCCAGCTATAGTAAATCTTAGTCATGAAGTAAATCAGATAATAATATTTGGAAAGTCTATCATCTCCCTTATGATTTTTAATAAGTCTAAAGGTGTCCTAATATCACCCTAGCGTTTAGTTCCTTTTTGCTTGTTCTAAACTTGCGTTAGGGTTTGTAGCTAAACTAAACATTTATCTTGAGAATGATTCCAACTAGAATTAAACTTGTAAGAGATGAAAATAAAAATTGCATAGATCATCTCTAGAGTAAGCTAAAGAATCAATTAATAGTTTAAACATAGTCATGAGCAAAAAACCTCAATTGGGCATAAGCTATATTAGTCTAGCATGAGAAGTAACTTAAATAAAGTAAACTCATGTATCACATAACATTTGAGATTTTGTGCCACTACACACCTTTCGTGCCTTTGTACACTGTTCACGCCTTTACCCTCACCGACAAACTCTAAACCTCTTCCAACCTCTCCACAATTTTCCTCGCACCCATTTCATAAACTCAAGTTTTAAACATTGTCTCTACCACTTGACTATCCACCGGAAAGTTTATAAAATTGAGCCTCTTTAATTACAAGCATCCAAAATAATACCCGCTCCTTCGAGCCTCCAAACAAATCCTCAATGTTCATGAAGTTTAATTTCATCACTACTCCTTAAATTTTATAATGCATATTTACATAAGCACCCAATCTTCAAACACTTATAAAACTCTTATCAATTATCTCTCACTATTTCTATTAGTTAAATAGGATAGCTTCTCCTCAACATCAAGGTCAATAGCATCACCCTACACCTCATATCCACCAATGAGATCTAAATTCTAGTGAATTAGTCTAACTTCAGCCAAAGCTAAATCCACACCCAAATCAACGCTGGATCCACATACTGCAGCTCATTTAATACCCAGCTTGAATTGATAAACCTCTTGTTGTCTTGAACACATGCTTTCAATAACAACAATTTTTAAAATTTCAAATAATGCCTAAAAATAGTATCCATTTGTATTGAGATTAAACATCAAATAAATTGCCAAGAAAAAAAAAAATAAATGATTTAGAATATTCTTATTTAATCTTTTCTATGAATTAGCATAATTTAATTGAATTAACTTTAATTCATTTTTAATTCTTCAGTTTATATTATTTTTTAATCAAATTCCATTTGGATTTCAAAAATTTATCACGACTTTCTTACTATAACAAATTTAATTTTATATCATGTTAAATTTCCGCCATGAGGACTACCCATCAAGCTATCCATCAAATATAACAAAAGCATATCTTATCATATATATATATATAGTTGGATTTTCAATTATGT